ATCATATCAAACCGAACATGCACTGTATCGAGATATGTATCAAGGCATCATGGCCTATGTATCGAGGTATGTATCGTATCGGCAACTTCTTAATGATAACCAGCCCGAATCCACATGTTTCCAAACGTCTTCTGGTTTTGTGAAGTAAGCCTGAAAAGGACCTGTAAAGGACTTGATCTTTTCATTGCTCAGACTGACAGCCCTAAACAATTTAGACGTCAATTTCTCCTTTAACTCTTCATTTTCTTCAATGGATTTTTGCAGTTCATTGTTGAAGTACATAGTTTTTTTTTCTTTCAGTTTCTAGCTGACTTTTAAGTTTCTCAGTTTCAGACTGCAGCGTTTTCAGTTCTTCAGAATGTTCGCACTGATTTCCAATCGGTCTGAACACTCTTTTCAGTAGGTTCATCCGAGGTAGTTTGTGGCACTGTAATAGAGTCTTCATGATGAATCATGGGTTCTAAGTTAGGATGTGAAGAAGTACAAGTGGTAGTTTCATCCTGAGATTTATCAGAAACTATTGGCTCGATGCTACAGAGTCGTTTGCTTTGTCTCTCGAAGTGATTCAGCGATCGTTTGAGCACATCCTTACTTTGCTGGTATTTGGGTCCCAAATTCAGTTGTGGTGTGTAGTCCGGATGATTCAGATCACAATGCGGGTCCCATGTCAAAAAGATGACAAATTTATTGAAATACACATTGAATTTAATGAATAAAAAAAAAAAGCACAAACCTGTCAAGAAATCGGCCCAACATAACTTGTTGGAGTCCACAGTTTGCTCGGATCGTCAGTGTTCGCTCTACAGATGTTTGAAAGCCATTTAATTGGACGTTGGTGGTTCTTTTCACTCGGAATACGAAAAAGAGCTTTTCCTTCTTCAGTGTTTCTATTTGCGCATCTGATAATGCAGCAGGAATTGACCATTATTGGCAATAAATACGCAAGGTTACGTTAGGTGGTTATCCGCTATCGTGTGTTTGCCACAATATTTCCCATCATGCAACACGGGCTTTTAGTAACAAAGACATCAGCTGAAACTCACCTATAGAGCCTGTTGTGTCTTGTCCCCATAACACTAAAAAATGTGCATCTTAACAATGAATGGATTTACTCAGTATATGGCTAATTTAACTGAGAATTTTACTACTGCGAACTGTAGAACAGCTATAATTTAATTTAACTTTTATTACTGTTGTGTAATGATGACCTGAAATGGTGCAGTCGAATTTCAGCCAGTGTATTTCATTTTTAAATAGATACAGTTACCAAAAAGAGACTACAGAACAGATTTAAGAGGGAATCCATGCAGAGATTAAGTTCGCGCTGAAAATTAGGGCACGGCCACATTGAACGGCTCTGCACTGGGGGTTTGACAAAGCAAAATACTGATGAAGGTTTTCAGTGTGTTTTTAATTCTTTGTTTGTGCACAGTTTGTATTTTTAAAGAGGTATCACAGAAAACACAAATCATCATAATACTGGACTGTCGCGTTTTGTAATTCAGCCCAAAACCAAACTCAAAGGCAGACAATTCCAGCAGCACATCCTGTTCTCTTCTCCATCTCTCTCTCTCTCTCTCTCTCTCTCCTCTGTTTATCTCCACTTTCTCTCCTCTCTCTGTTTCTCTGCTTCTCCATCTCTCTCTCCTCGGTTTCTGTGCTTCCTCATCTCTCCCTCTCCTCTCTCTCTGTCTCTCTCTCTGTTTTTCCACTTCTACATCTCTCTCTCTCATCTCTCTGTCTCTCTCTCCCCTGTTTCTCTCTCCTCTGTTTCTCTCTCCCCTGTTTCTCTCTCCTCTCTCTCTTTCTCTCTCCTCTGTTTCTCTCCTTTCCTCTCCTCCTCTGTTTCTCTCTCCTTTCCTCTCTCTCCTCTGTTTCTCTCTCCTCTCTCTCTTTCTCTCCCTCCTCTGTTTCTCTCTCCTTTCCTCTCTCTCCTGTTTCTCTCTCCTTTCCTCTCTCTCCTCTGTTTCTCTCTCCTCTCTCTATGTCTCTCCTCTGTCTCTCTCTTCTGTTTCTCTCTCCTCTCTGTCTCTCTCTCCCCTGTTTCTCTCCTCTCTCTGTTTCTCCACTTCTCCATCTCTCTCCTTCTATTGTCTTTATCTATCAGTCCATCTCTTTCTTCTGTCTATTTCTTTCTCTCTGTGAAACTCTCTTTTTTTCTCTATATCTCCCCTTCTCTCTCTCTGCCTCTCCTCTCTCACCCTCTCTTGCCTTTATCTATCCTTCCGTCTCTTCCCCCCATCCAAATCTTTATCTCGCTTTCTCTCTGTGAAACTCTCTCTTTTTTTCTCTCTATTTCACCCATCTCTGACTCTCTCTGCTCTCACCTATTTCTATCTTTTTCTCTATGTCTTCTCTTCTATCTTTTTGTCTCCCTTTGCTCTCTACCTCTTTCCTCCCTTCTCTCTTTCTCTTTGGTTTCCTAGTCTCGCCTCCTCCCTCTCTCCTCTTTCCACTCCCTCTCTCTCTCCTCTTTCTCTCTTTCATCTCTCTCTCTCTCTTTCTCCTTCACTCTTGTCATTTCCTGCAGCAGATCTGGGTTGACAGGAAGACAGCTGTGTTCAGTGGAGATGTGTTTGTGTGAAATCCGACTCAAAATAAGCCCGCTGCGCTCTGTCTGCGTCCAATTATGAAGCGGTTTAATGCCAGAGAATCAGGAAGCACTCGTTAGCATGCTAGCTGTGAGCGAATTAGGAATAACTGGACCACTTCAGTCGCATGTCACCTTTTATTACGCATTATCCTGTGGTATAATTTTGAAGTTTAGTTTTGATGCGCTCTCATCTCTTTGCTCCCCGCGTTAAGTCACTCCCCCTTCAGAGCGCTATCACAACACAATCAGCGTGCATCTCGCTAATGAAACTACTGCACATCGCATCAGGTTTGTGAAATTGTGTGTTGTTTTGTATCATATTTTTGTACATTTTTGGAGAATTGTCGTGTGGGAGCATGGGTGACATAAGCTTGACAGACAGAATTTTACAGCTAATCATGAGGAGGGTGCGAATAGAGCGCGGGAGAGATCGCTACATTATTGAAACATGCACTGATGACATATAAAACCTCTTCAGGCGTGTTTTTGTTAAAAGAACAATGTTATAACAGAGTAGAAAGTAGGGCCTGACCGATATGTTGATTGGTTGATATTATCGGCTATTGGGCTAAATCTTGCCGATATGGGCCGATAGTCCACGTGGACATGTTATAGCTTGTCATAAAGCTTTGACTCTCTATATTATGTCAATTTAATCCAATTTACAGACAGATAAATGTTCTAATATGTGACCCAGAATCAGTATTTTTCTGCAGAGTCATTTGTCTTGTGTTTGTGACGCCGTACTGCCCCTGAACGCACCTCCAGCGTCACGTGTGCTTATTTACACCCGTGCGCAGCCAAAGCTCCACGTGCACAACACTGAGGAACTGGTTTTAAACGATCTTGTGTCTGATCCATGATAGTGACTATAAATAATAGTAAACTTCAGTTTACTATTTTAGATCAGCAACAAAACTACTGCTTGTTTGAGTGCGGAGAGGAGATGACTGTCCTGCAGACAGAGGACACACACAGCTGCTGTCAACATGGTGGATTATATTCATTTTTACGGACGAATCGGTTTGAGTCAGGATTAAAAGGACACTTATTTGTGAAGACTTGTGATCTGAGAGGAGCCTGTGTGAGCGGTGAGTGTTGCAAATGTGTCAGTTTTAGAGCTGCTTTTGGTTCTTTCTCATTGTTTAGCTCTTAGCTGCTGTAGCTCTCACACATAAACAGCCTGTTTCCTCTTCCACTGGCCTAGTGCAAAGTGACTATAGTGGCTGTGTCCATGTTACAGGACTTGCATTGAAATGTAAATGAGCTGTGAATAGAGGTGTGAATGATCCGCATTTACGCAAATCATTAATTACCGTGGTGCAGACGCATTTAGTGCTAAAGTCTAATAGTGGTAGTTTACATACTTTCTTTACTGGCTAGAATTTGATGCAAAAATGCCATTAGACTGACCTATTGTCTTTAAATATGACTGTAAAGAGACAGAATAACAATAAATGTGGCCTAAACAAACCCAATTGAAAATTCAGTAGACCAAGATAAAATATTTACAGTGAATTTTATTAAATATTATTAAATATATCAGCTTTTATATCGGCTATCGGCAGCTCCAGCTCTCAGTTTATCGGTATCATATCGATCCATATCGGTCGGGCCCTTGTAGAAAGCTCCAAAAGTCTATTTTGCATCTTTAAAACAAACTAGTTCTGTTTTTCCACGATTTTTAAGACTCTAAAAATCAACTACAGCGAATTTTAAATCATTATATTATTTGTAATTTGGAGAAAAAAATAAGTTAAAAAAAAGAACAACAAAAGTGAGCCGGTGCTGCTTTGCTTTTCTATATAGCGTTGAGACAGCAGACCTCACAAACACATCCAGACAAACACTGAAGTGGGAGACAGTCACAGAGAGATGCATCGTGGGTTGTCGTCGCCGCGGGAACCGGGAAGCAGCCCAGCGGGGGGCCTTGCACAGATTTACTTTAGAGACACGCTCGTATCTGCTGAAATCTGGAGGGACACATTCACTGGTCATGAATGGATCAGATGGAGATGACAAGAGAGGAAAGGCAATTAGACGAGGAGCTGTAACTAAGACTAAGACGAAGGTAGGTCACGATAATTACTGTTTTGATTTATAGTTGTTCTTCTTCAGTTCAGTTAGTGCTTCAAACTTTATCGTGACAGTTCAAGTAAAGCTACGTATTGTTGTTTTGGGCATCATGGTGTTCTGTAGATCTGTGTTGTTTAAAACTTGTGCATGCAGCCAAAATTCTGGAAATGTTTTTGACTTTCATTCATGCTTTGCTGTGTAAACTATGGCTGTTTGAACACTTTCTATTGGCCAGTCTATGTCATGCTCTGATTGAGTGACAGGTCATTATAACCAATAACAGTGAAGTGTGAAGTCTCAGAGGAAAAAGATACAATTACAAGCGAAAAGATCATAGTAATAATGCATTTTATTCACTGTATAGTGTTTGTCGCTGCACAGAGAACACAATTAAAAGCAGTAGGAGGTGGAGATGGGTATAAACAGAAAAATGATGAGCCATGTCCAGTTATCAGATGATTTACTTTTCACTCCAGTACCACCAAAGAAAAGCTTACACTTTCCCTGTACCACCAGATCTAAACCAGGTCTATGACAGGACTATTCCAGGTGTAATCTAGGACTAGACCAGGTCTAAAAATGGATTGCATTATTTCCACTGAAGATCTAAACAGGAAATGATCCAAAAGAGGACAAAACGTAGATTCAATGGACTCAGGCTGTCACATGTACCATAGTTTGAGAAACACAGATTTGATCTTAAGTAGCATTTAGAAGTAAATTTCTTTGGTCTTCTCATGTTCGACTGATGTAGCGTGGACCACGTCAGGCTGAGGCTCTATCCGTGTCTCTGTTTTTGGCGCCCCCTAGAGCCACGTCTAGTCTCACTTTGGTCACTTCTCTTTCGAGTAAGTTTTGGGGCTGGAGAAGCAATCCTATAAGATAAAAAATAAAATACAAATATTCAAAATGACTGATGTATCGTGCTAAACCAGGACTGAACAAGGTCTAAACCAAGACTAAACCAGGACTAAACCAGGACCAAATACAGACTTAACCTGGACTGAACCAAGGCATTGCCAGAGCTAAACCAAGACTGAACCAGGACTGAACGAGGACTAAACCAGAACTAAACCAAGACTGAACCAGGACTGAACGAGGACTAAACCAGAACTAAACCAAGACTGAACCAGGACTGAACGAGGACTAAACCAGAAATAAACCAAGACTGAACCAGGACTGAGTCAGGAATCAGTCATGACAAAACCAGGACTGAATCCTGACTTAACCTGCACTGAACAAGGACAGTACCTGAACTAAACCAGAACTAAACCAGTATCAAATCAGTACTAAAACAGAACTGAACCAAGACTAAATATGGACTTAGCCAGGACTGAACCAGGACATTGCCAGGTCTAAAGAGCTAAACCAGAACTAAACTAAGACTAAACCAGAAATAAATCAGAACTAAACCAGGACTAAACTAGGACAAGAATGGATTGCTGTATATAAGCCGACACTGAAACCTGGGACCTTTTTGCTGTGAGGTGCTCAGTGGGAAAGTAAAGTATATTGTCATTATAAAAAGAAAGCAGCAGATTTACCTTTTGTTCTTGAATGTGACAATTTGAGCTGTGGATCTGGACATTTTCAGAGGTTCAAAATGGACCAACTCTTCTGAGTAAGAGTCACACGACTGAGACCGACTAAAGAATAAAAATAATAATAAAAGAATGTTAAGGTGACAACTACTGCCATGGACGAGCAGACTGTAGGGTCCAAGACTGAAACATCACTAGACCAGGACTGAAGCAGGACTGAAGCAAAACTGAAGCAGAACTCAACCAAGACTGAACCAGAACTAAACTAGGACTGAACCAGAATTAAACCAGGACTGAAGTAGGACTGAATCAGGACTAAACCTAAACCAGGACTAAAACTGAGCTAAACCAGGACTGAACCAAAATTAAACTAGAACTAATGAAGAAACATTATGGGTTTACCAAATAAGTAAACACAAGTCTGTTTTATGAATTTCAACACATATTTAAACCTTATTTCTTCGTTTCTCCAATGAACTGTTTTAGCCTTTTGTGATTCTCAGAGTGACACTTGTGCACATGCACCGTAGACAAAACAAAACAAAACCCAAAAAACTCTTAAACAACTTAATTAAATACTTAACAATATATTTAGTTGCATTGTCACTTATACTTGATGTATTTCTAGCATATATTACAAAAAAAGGGAAAATATTATGACTTACATTGAGAACATTATTGCAGTGTCGCCCGTCTCTGTAAAATGTGACCTGCTTCCTCAATTGTGATTCTCTTTCAACGTGACTCTCAGGAATGGGGACGGACTGGTTTTCCACAATATCAAAGACTGCATAAGCTTTTCCCAGTCAAGATCACCTCTTAAAGTAAAAGGAAAAAAGTGTCTTGATATTACTGACTGTAAGTTTCAGCATGTACATGTTTTGTATCCCGTTTGTTAGTGTTGCATTTGCAGTTTAATCCTGATTTTGCAAAAAAACTATTATTTAAACAGAACTGCAACTGTGCATATGTGCAAAAACAAAACATAAGTACAATTCTCAGCTCACTCATTCCATACTTTTCTTTCTGCTGTTCTGCATATAAATCTTTATAATAAAAACAATTAATAGATTAATAAATTAATAAATTGTGGTTTAGACCTGGGGACCTTTTAAATTTGGGATGTTACAAGATTTGTGTATAATTGGCACAAAAAGCCAAATATACACAAAGTTTCACCAGTGATCTCAATCTCAGTTTTGTGAAATAATGACAATTACAGTGATCTGCAGTTTGACAGTTTATTCATGTTTAACAATAGAATTATTTTCTTACATAGACAGAACAAAACATACATTTTGACCTTTTCTAATCTAGGCTCAAAAAATAAATAAATAAATATGTATTAATTGAAGGAGCATTCATATTTGGCCTGGTTTGGGCCTAGTTTGAGCCCGTTTAGTCCGGACTTGGTTTTCTTTCTCGTTCTTAGTCCTGGTTTAGTCTTGGTGTAGTCTGAGATTAGTTTTGGTGTTTTTTTGTGCAAATGTGAATGTACCCTCAGACTGGCTTTAACACTCAGTAATGCAGTAACACCTTGTACAATTAGTTTTGTTATTTCACTGTTAACTATACTGCATGTTCTTATAATGATTTGATTTTATTGGAAAGCACACTGGTCACTCGGAATACTGTAAATGGCATTATACATCTATGTTGATTGATCATGATTAGCATTTTAATACAGTCTTCAAACTCATCTTTCAGTCACAGACAAAAATGCAGAGTAGCCATAACTTAAATATTCCTGTTTTACTGTTTCCTGTTTGGAGATGGCCATGGCCTCAGCTTGATGTTTGGTCCAATGATGGTCACTCTCAGGGCTTCTTGGATTTGGAGCAATCCTGAAGGAAAAACAAAAGAAAACAAAAGAAAACAAAAAACATAAAAAATAAGGATAAACTGTGGTAATTCAGTTCAGTTTACTTTCATAAATATTACATAAATACATTTCTCTGTAGCTATTGACATTGTAAAAAATTAACACTGGTCTCCAAATTATGATAAAGTTGCAGACTTACTGTTGAGGTTTTTAAAGTCTGACAGGATTGACATGGATCTGGAAATTTTCACATTTTCAAAACGGAACAGCTGATCAATAAGGGGCAGAAACGGTCTGTAGAAAAAAGAAGAAAAGAAAAATCTTTGCCTGTTAATATTTTCTAGTGTATAATTTTGGTTTATCTGAAAATTGGAGGAGTCAGACACAGGGAGGTCAGGCTAACTCCACACTGTCTTACCTGGCCCAGGACTTGGAGGTTTTCACAGGAGCCGATACATCAGAATCTGAGTAGGACCGAAGCCGACTAAAAAACAAAATGAAACAAAAAGTAGGGATACATCAATATTAATACACTGGGTATATGACCAATACCACGTGCCAGTACTTGTACTTGCCAGTGTGCTACTGATCCCATTAGGCCTAAAACTGCCCTACATGACCATAGACTCTGAGCGGAGACTGAGCAGAGACTGAGCTGAGCATAAAGAAGCACATTAACTGTTCTTCACATTGAGCTCAGCTGTAATCACATGCGGCCATTATATGAACTATGAAAATATTTAATACTCTCAAAGGTTTTTATTGTGCATAAAGAATCTCAACACAGTGCTTTGTTTACATAGTAGCATGCTAATGTTGCTAACTGATGCTATGATTTGCTTGTGTCTGCATTATGACATGTTGTAAAAAACACTGAAATGACGTAGTTTGGCTGTGGAAATCACACTCACTGTTCCAGAAGTAACCCTGTAGCCCTGTACCACGTGGTAAATATTACCTACCTACCTACTCATCTAAATAATACTAGAAATATACCCAAATTTCAGCCCCTTAAATAAATATTCCAGCGAAAAAGTAGGTACTATAATGACATTGTGTGTAAATTATAATAGAACAAAAACAAATACTTAAGTACAAATTTTACATATCTGTACTTGACTCAAGGACATTTTACAATGGATACTTTTTACTTTTACTTCACTACATTTGAGAGCAGGTATCTGTACTTTCTACTCCACTACATTTTAGATATGGAAAGAAAAGTAAAAAGTACTTTTCTTTATGGTTTGAGATCTGCTGAAATGGCTTTTGTTTATTTATTTATTTAGCACATTTAATTTGAGTTACTACAATAATACAAAAACACAGAAACAGCTAGAAAAATTAAGAAATCAATTGAATCAATTCAAATCTGCTAAATAATTTTTCAAAATCACTTCATTACATCATTTAATTGTTCTAAAAATCTCTCTTAAATACTTAAATACTCTTAAAGTACCCATAACAAGTGCTTTAATACTTTTACATAGGTAGATTTTTACCTTTGTATCTGTAATTTTACTTAAGCAACAACACTGACTATTTCATCCACCATTGTTAGATAATAATATTGCAAAATTAACATTCTAAATAATTAACTCTTATTTATGTTGTTCATAAAGCTTTCTCAAATCACATTAAGTATTATTTTAAGTACAAATCTGAGAATTATTATAATAGAAGAAGTAAAACTTACCATGAAAACATTGTTGGCATGTGTCTGTAAAGAAGAAGAAGTGTCAGTGCTGTTGTTGTCGCACTCATATATTTATACTCATAGGAAAAGGGGAAGTTGTTAGTTTCAGATTTTGCCCTTTGTTTGTATAGTTCTTATTTTAGTCCTGTTGTTGTCCTGGTTCAGTCCTGGTTTAGTCCTGGTTTAGTCCTGCTTTTAATCGTCTTGGTTTTAGTCTTGGTTTTAGTCCTGGTTTAGTCCTGGTTTAGTCCTGACTCTCGCAGATGTTGCAGTTGTAGCACAAATCGTATCTAAAATGCATGACTGCTTTTCTCGGCCGGACACATTAGTTTAGTCGAGCAAACTGGAGTAGTGTGAGTGAGGCGACAGTGCTATCAGAAAACTAGGAATAATTCATTAGAAAATGTACAAAAATGTACTAAAAATGTACTATAAATGTACTCTGTATTATAAGGGAAAGCATTTGTCTTATAAGGGATACAAAATTTCTAAACTATAGAACAGGGCACTTAAAGGGCAGGTACCGGATTTTTTCCATGTATTTGAGCAAAATGTGTCTTGTCCTAGTTCAGATATATTATATAAGCAGCTCTTTAGTTCAAAATAAGTCCGCTCTGTGCTGTGCATCTAATTATAAAGCATTTTATTGTCAGATAATCTGGAAGTGCACTGTTAGCATGCTAGTTTTGCAGTGTTCACACTCACTGTCCCTGAGCCAACATGGTCCTGTAAAAGGCTGTTTAATTTATCTTCTACAAACTTAAACTAAAGAACTGAAAAATCTGGTAAACTTAGGGTCATCATGTTTGTGTTGGTGATCACAGTCAGTCCTGCTGACGTAAGGGAGCTGAGGGGGGACATTTGAGTAACCTACAGACATCAAACTGTTAAAATCTTTACCTGTGGATTTTTATACTGTCATAATTACCATAATGTGGAGTCCAGCTATTGAAAACTTTACTAAAAATATGGTTATAAAGGTTATAATTTAATTTATTAATTAGGTGTAATTCATAATGGTTAGTTAGAATCCATATTCACGTGTATTCATTTTGTGTCTTGAATCTATATTTTCCTTTTGGGGGGAAGTTGACCAAGAGCTAATTCCTCATTTTTACGTTTATGGTGATTTTCTTCGCACTACATGTTTCCGGTTTTTTTTTTATGGACACAGTTATTAATTGTGGTCATGGTTAAGCAGAATCTTTGTTGTTTGTCCAAAAAAATTCAAATTAGATATTTTCCCTAACTGTTCATCGCTAGACTTATATTACACTATTTTCTGATCTGTTATAATGTTGTTTCCTCATCACAAACAGACCTGGAGTTGTGTTTTGTTTTATTCACACATGTTTAATTAACACACAAAACCCTGCATATTTAGGTTGAGTTCTTCTCATATGAAAAAATACTCTGTTCCACTTTGTGATGTCATGTGGTAATACAGGAAGTGCTCCACTGTGTTTTTAAACTCATAGACTTTCACTAGAATCATTTGGATAATTTGGGCCCTGGATTTGATTGCCAATCTCAATTGAACTAAAGGTAAAAGAAGCTGTTTAGTTGAAAACTACCACTACATGACATCACAAGGTGGAACAGAGCACTTTGAGCTTTGAAGATTTAGATAGACTAATAAGAAAGGGTTTCTGATGGAAGTAACAACGTATAACATGACTTACAGTTCACAAATGTAAATTTTGCACAATATAGGATTTTTAAAACAGATCTGTTATGGAAAATCAACTTTTCAGAGCTTTTAATCATGTTATAGCTCTCCCCCCTTCTCATTTACCCTCTGGAAGTTGTATTTGGAGTGATTTGTGCAGGTTTGACTAATCTTAATCTCACCATATTGCCGATCAAGAATGTAGCCATAAGTGCTCCGGACCCTCACGGCCTGTTTGCATTGACTCCAATGGAGACACGAGAAACTGTCCTGTTTTCTCTATTTTGGTTTCACTTCAGTTGTTTTCACACTTGGACCAAATATTTCTCTCAATAAAACAAAAATAACCGGAGTATCTGAGAGAAGGCAGTCAGGCTGCTGTCCAAAGAGCACAGATGGGAGACAGAACTCAACACCTCCTCATCCGCGTTAACCACTCTGCCGCTCCATCACAGAGGCGCCGAGGTGAGACCAACGTGAAGAAAGTGGGAACGGAATTAGATAAGTGTTCATTAAGGAAAATTATAATTGGAATAGGGTTGGGAAAAGGTCTAATTGCTAATTTTCTGACACATATTTCAATCAGATTAGATTTTGGAAGATTGAGTTTCGAAAGTATTGAAAATCAGATACTAGAAAGTAGTATTAAAACTGTATACTCATTTGATACTAAAAAAGTCACATTCACAGCACAGAAATGAAGCTTTACTGCATGATCTTGAGCTTTATCAGAACAAGTATAAGAGCACATAGACTAGTACACACACATGGACAACTATGGAACCTACCTGGACCACTGAGGTTTTACACACATATAAAACCACATGGGAATAGAAAAGAAATTACGATTTAATGTTGAAAATCACATTCTGTTGTCTAAATAAAGAGTATTTGTAATGATCATTGTATCTGACACGGAGTACCAAGTCTATTTTTTAGAATTGAAATGAAGTTTGAAATTTTAGTATTGTGACATTAGTTTATAGTGCACATTTGAATCTTGGGGCACTGACATTTGTGACACAAAGAAGAGTTAAACCTCCCAAATGGGAACTGAATGGGAAATGAAACTGTTGTGCTTTTTAAATATATAACCACATATTGGAAGCGAACTTGTTTCTGTTATGACCCAGGGCTACTTCTCTTTTCACAATGGAGGATTAGAACCCAGATGCAAAAAATGGTAAAACTAACAAAACAACAACATGAGGCTATTTACAAGAATGAACAAAAAGAGAGTCTTAACAGAGTAGTTATATATGTATTACCAAAAAGGATAAAGCTAACAGAACTAAATTGTTCAAATGATATGAACACAAAAGCAACAGAACAAATCTGACTCTTAACTAAGTCCAAAGCACTACTACTGTCTCAAAGTTCACAAAGTTACACAAAAACTGCATGGAAGACACAGCAAATGTGGCAGGCTGATTACATATCAGCAGCAAGGACTTGACATGTAGCGACTGGAGGAGCTGGGGCCATAACTGTGGGCAGTTCAGATTTCAAAGGGAAACTTATAAAACAATACACAGTCTTACAGTCTTTGATGGAAATGGGGTTTTCAAATCAAGAAAAAGTAACAGAGTGATCTAAATATGTTATGTATTAGGAGTTAATACCTGCCTAAAATGCCTCACTCAGGCGACTGTCAATTCTCTTTGCTCTGTAATTTGGCCTCTGCTTCTTCTAACTGCTCCTGTTTTAAATGAGAACAAGTTATACACAGACGAAAACTCCGCCTACATTTTTGGGAGTGACTATAAGAACAGGTGTAGCTGGTGTCTCTGGGGATAGTCTAAGAAACGGTAGATTGAGCATTTCTTGGATCTTGACAATTCCCAGGTCAAAGCTGAATCAAATCTCACTAAACATGAGATTTAGAGACTTCATACACTACTGGTCAAAAGTTTTAGAACACCCTAATTTTTCCAGTTATTTATTTCAGTTCAAGTCGTGCAAGTCCAATGAAGAGCTTGAAATGGTACAAATGTAAGAACTGAACAGCCAGAGGTTTAAAAAAAAGGATAAAAGATACAAAACACAAGTCCAAGCTCTGCCAAAACTACCTCAGGAAAAAAGAACAAGATGGTAAAGTTGAAAACATGGAGTGGCCAGCAGCACAGTGTCCAGACTTAAACTTCTGCAACAGACTTGAGAAGAACTTTCTGAAGAATATTTGATTTCTATTGTAAAAAGAACGAGCCACGAGTGTGTTCAGCTGTTATATCTGCCAAAGGTGGACACTTTCATGAATCAAAAGTTTAAAATACGTTTTGGTCAACAGTAAACAGGAAAAACTCCATGAATGTTTTACACATGCATGAGATTGGTTGTTTTCTTTTATCATAAGCTGGACAAACAGAAATGTATTAAGAAATGCCCTTATCAGCCCCCTCGGAACAAGCAGGTTTAATATTTACTAGAATTTAAACGGACTTGTACTCTATTTGAAAACAGATATGAACGGGGTGACCAGTAGCATTCCTTCCAAGTATTCCCGATATTTTCAGCTGGACAAAGCCTGTGGAAACGCCTCGTACGAGCCCTTTACTGGACCGTGTAAACAATAAGAAGTTACATAAGAGTTACGACATCAAAGACTTGATATGACTGCTCTGTCTGCACATTGTGTTGTATTGGAACAGGCTGTAAGTAACCACCTTTCCTTCCTGCTCCTCCCTCCCTCTCTCTGTCTCTCCCTCTCGTTCCTCCTTTCTTTCTCCCCTCCGTTTTGTCTTTCTCTGAATCCCTACCTCCCTCCTTCTCCCGCTTCATCTTCCCTTGATTTCTCTCACTCCCCGCTCCCTCTCTCCCTCCTTCATCCTCTCTCTCCATCATTCTTCTCTCCTCCCTTCTCTCTCTCTCTAACCCCTCTCTCCCTCCCTCCCTCCCTTTCTCCTCCCTTCCATTCTCCCTCTCTCTTTCTCTCCCTCCTTTCTTTTTTACTTTCTTTCTCACTCTCTCTCTACTCCCTTTATCCCTCCCTCCCTTTTTCCCCTTCTCCCTTCCTCCCTCCGTCTCATCTCTCTCCCACTCTCCTTCTCTCTTTCTCCTTTCTTTCTTTCTCCCTCCCTTTTTCCCTTCTCCCTTCCTCCCTGCCTCTCTCCCCCTCGTCCCTCCCACTCTCCCTCTCGCTTTCTCTCCCGCCCTCCTTTTTTCTTTCTTTCTTTCTTTCTTTCTTTCTTTCTTTTCTTTCTCACACTCTCTCTCCTCCCTGCCTCATTCCCCCCCGTTCTCCACCCTCTCTCGTTTCTCCCGCTTTCTTTCTCGCCTCCCTCCCTCTTTATCACCCCCCTCTCTCTCCTCCCTCCCACTCTCCCTCTTTCTTTCTCTCCCTCCTTTTTCTTCGCCCTCTCTCCTCCCTCCCTCACCCCCCCACCCTCGCTCTCTTTCTCTCTCTCTGTCCGCAGGACGTCCCTTGTGCCGCGCCCTTTGACCTCTCTCACCCCTGACGCCATGAACTCGCTGACCCACCCCTCCCGCTCCTCCCCCTCGTCCTCCTCCTCGTCCTCCTCCTCCTCCTCCTCCTCCTCCTCTTCCTCCTCTTCGTCCATAGACATCCTGGAGGAGCTACAGCTGATCGCGGCTCAGAACCTGGAGAAGGTGGACATCCATAAGTACTACGAGGTGGTGCGAGAGCTCGGCAAAGGAACCTACGGCAAAGTGGACCTGGTCGTGCACAAGATCAGAGGTAATAATATAAATACTTTGCAGTGTGATCATGCTGGGGGTGTTCTACATGTATGCCTATAGTAGAATGTTCAGTAGTAACTATGGTGACACAATGCACACAGAGCAAACACTGTCCAAAAGTTTTAAAGGGACAGTCTGGAATTTTGGACATAGGACCTCATTTCCTAGTGAGCCAGAGTGTTGGAGACGTGTGGAGACACTTTTTAAAATATTCCACCCAGTCCTTGTATTTGTGGAGGTCGCTGGTGCATGTCAATGGCCATAGTTAGACTGTTAGTTTTACCCACTCCACAAAACACCCGAAGTAAAACTATTATTATGCCAGACTGTCAATGCTAAATGTCTGTGTTGATAGAATAATTTTAGAAGTAAAACCAACCTTACATTTGAAGGATTTATGTCAGAGCAGCAGCAGCGAGTTGAACTTCCTGTTAGAAAATTTGGCAGCGGCGGACTGATATATGAAGAAAATAGTCCCTCAACATGCAACGATTCATGCAGTGCAAAGTTAGCTTTATTTGGGACATTACTCTGTTGACACAGACATTCACATTGACAGTCTGGAGTAATAATAGATTTGCTTCGGGTGTTTTGTGGAGTGGGTAAGACTGTTTTTAGTGTCAGGATAACTATGGCCATTGACATGCACTAGCCTAGCACCAGTGACCTCTGCAAATACAAGGACTGGATGGAATATTTAAAAAAGTGTCTCCACACGTCTCCAACACTCTGGCTCACTAGGAAATGAGGTCTTATGTCCAAAATTCCAGACTGTCCCTTTAAGATTTACAAAAAAATATAAAATGGATTTAAACAGCACATTTTCAGGAGCCTGTGATCAATAGGAGCGTTCATGGTCCTGTTTAGGAGTTTGAAAAACTATTGGCTAAATGCTAGATATCTTGTGACTGTAATTTTATGTGTGAGGGACTGTCAGCTGTTGTAGTTCTCTTTCTGTTGATAGAAAAAAAATGGAAAAGTCCTTTATCTTTTATTAGAATATTTTTACCCAGAGGGTACATGTATCTAAAGGAACTGTACATAAGATTTAGATTTTAAATTCTGTGTCCCCAAACATGAGGTAAACATATAACACACATGTTCAAATCAAATATCATTTTTATTGATAACAATTTTAATGCTGATTTATTTTTAATTACAAAAAACAATGGACATGCACATTGTATTGTATTGGAACAGTCTGTAAGTAATAGGGATGTGAAAAAATACTGAAATATCGATATATCGTATCATTTAACATGTTACAGTATCGATATCATGGGCTGCTGTATGTGCCAAATGAAGAGGAAGTACACTCACTTATGAAACACATTGGAAAGTTCCCCATAAAAATGCCTTTTTAATGCAATGGAAGCGAACGCAATGGACATGATGGCCAATTCACATATATTATAATTTGGTGTTTTGGTTCTCAAGATAATTATCCAGTCAGAAAGCAGAATGAGCCTCACATGCTCTCTTGTTTGAGTTAACAGTTTCAATGCTGAAATCCAGTTGTTTCAAACTAAAAATGCCCCTCTCTCTCTCTATGAATGGTCACTAGCTAAACCCCAGCATCTGCAGCTAGTGCTAGTGCAACCTCTGCAGCTCAGGGAGGGAATTCTGGAGGTTCTGAGCTTCACATGAGGCTTGACCTGTCTGTATAGTGATAATGAGAAAATCTTTTGTTCTCTATCTGCAGATTAAGGCACTGGAAAAGTCCAGTTGTGATTGTAGAACTGTTTTTAAAAACTACACACAGCGCAGGCTACACACAGTTCCTTTAACTAACATTTTATTTTGAGGCTGTCCAGTAGAGACCAGAATCATTATTTTTGCTGCAGCTGATTCACTCTGATATCAAAAGCAGCCTGTTCTTTGTCTGCTCCACTCCCATTCACTGCATTGATCCAAACTGTGGCACACTGCGTACCACCTCTGGTCTCTTTGACTCTATAAAGCCACATTACGGACTTTTTTGGTGTCCTCAGATGAGCTCAGACTGGCCCACAGAACCACACAAGGCTTCACTATCTGCTGCACAAACTGTTACTTTTGCCTGGACAGTGAAGGATGTTTTTTTGTCCATTTTGAGTAGTTATATAATTTTCAGTTATTTCTCTCTGTGTAATGTATTTGGAACAAACTGCACCAGGAGGCTACAGTTATAAGTGTTGTTCACAATGAAAAGACCAGACATACTTGTAGCTTTGAGAGGGCTTCGTCCACTGTTGAGAAAAGGGCATAAATATTAATGACTTTATAATAGAAGAAATCGCCTTAGATAATTGTACTTATACTACTTACGGTATGTCTGAGCAGGATTGTAAGAGCAAGGCTGCATTTTTTTAAGTAATATACATTTAAAATATCTGGTGTTTTTTCTGCATAAAATCCTTAAATCCTGTAGTTTCTATCTGTACAAAATGTGACTCAAAATGTGAACTTTGAACAAAATGCTATTATTAAATGGCACATATTACGCTATTTTCTGTTATTTTGGTTATGTTTTATGTTTTTGGTTATGTTATTTTTATATGTTTATGCTGTTTCCTCATCATAAACATCATCAGGGTTCCTATGGCCATGGAAATCTTGGAAAAGTCATGGAAATTGAAAGTGTCATTTTCCAGGCTTAGAATGTCATGGAATTTTGTAAATTCAATGAAATTTTTGGAAAAGTCATGGAATTTTAATATCTCTTTCATACAACTTTTATGATTATTTCCAAATGTGTGAGCCTTTTGTTTCAAAGAGATGACAATAAATGCACTGACAGTATTTTGACTTTTAAAAACTATAATCCCAAACCATAAGGTGAGTGGAAAGGATTGACATTTCATATTTAACCCTAAAAGTCTGATCAATTCTACACTTGTAGGGTGCTGTAAAGTCACGGAAAATTCACTTCAGGTCATGAAAAAGTCATGGAAAAGAATTAAAAATTTTGTCAATGAAAAAGAGTGGGAACCCTGCTGGAGTTTTTTTTTTTTATTCACACATCTTAACACACAAATCCTGCTGCATATTGGAAAACACTTTGTTCCACCTTGTGATGTCATGTGGTAGTACAGGAAGTGATCCATTGTGTTTTTAAACTCCATACACCTTCACTAGAATCATTTGGATAATTTCAGCCTTTGAACTGCCAATCTCTACTGAACTAAAGGTAAAAGGAGCTGTTAACTTGGAACCTACTTCATGACATCACAAGGAAGAAGAGATCATTTTGAGACATAGACAGACTAATAATGCAGTGTTACTCAAACATGTGTGAATGAAACAAAACACAACTCTAGGTGTGTTTTTGATGAGGTAACAACATTATAACATGGCTTAAAGCTCACAAGAAACAATTTTGTGTAATATAGGACCTTTAAAAGCTGAAAATATTCACAATGCTGAAAAAATACTATCAGATGTTTTCCTCAAACAGTGACAGTGAAGATCATGTACTTTTACAGAACTTTGCAAAGACATTTAAGTGTTGAGCTGTATCCTGTACTGCCAGATGTACAATGGTTGTGATTGACAGGTGGATTAGCCAATCAGAGAAACACATGGGCTGTTAAAATTTTTCCCTGTGTTTTTTTTTTTTTTTTTGAATGGTACAAGAATAAGATGAGATGTCCTCTTCTTGTTCTTCAGACTCATCTGAGAGGCGGTGATTGGCACGTCTGAAAATAAGTAGGCAATGCAGTACAATTATGGTATTGTTCAGATTTACAAAGGCGTTCATGTCTGCTACATCTTTTCCTGTACTATTCATGGTTTTCAGAATGATGAAAAGTTATCACCGTCGCCATAGCAATTAACAAATCAAAACCACCCCTCAGAATGGTACAGTATAACAGTAAGATGAACTCGTCGATACAAAGATGTGTAGTCTGGGAACTGTTATGAAGGTGCACTATGTAACTTTTTGGTTGGGGTCTGTCACCTGCTTGTTTCTATGGAGATGTCATTGTTCTGCCTGGAATGTTCCACAGTATGGCATTAAACAGCTTTACCTTACATTTATTCATTTACAGGTGGTTTTATAGCTCAAAAATACCTAGAAAAACATTCATTCAGACTGTGTGCAGGGTCGCTCTCCACAGATCTGACCTGTAACTTGGTCTGGTTTGTCTCCATGAAGATTGAAAAGTTTAATTCCATACAGTGAAACATTCAGACGAGTTCAGTTGGGTGTGATTGACAGGTGGATTGGCCAATCAGAGAAATGGAGAAATTCGATGAAAATGACTCATTCACATTTTTAATAAGTTTCAGTTTCGTTTTTTGATTTGGCGTAACGAGCGGAGGCTTGTGGGCGGAGGATCGGACAGAATCTTACAGCCAACTGTAAAGAAGGGTTGAACAGGGCCTGGGAGAGATCGCTAGATTACCCAAACATGCATGGATGACATTTAAAACCTCTTCAGGTATTTTCATGAAGGTAGCATGGTAGAAAGTAGGGATGTAACAATCCATGTATCATTCGTTCATTCGTCAGTTCTGGTTTAGTCCTGGTTTTGTCCTGTTTAGTCCTGTTTAGTCCTGGTTTAGTCCTGGTTTAGTCCTGGTTTAGTCCTGGTTTAGTCCTGGTTTAGGACTTGAGACCGGGACCGGACCGGGACCAGGCCAGGACCAGGACTGAGACCGGAACAAGGCCAGGACTAGACCAGGACTGAGACCGGAACAAGGCCAGGACCAGACCAGGACTGAGACCGGAACAAGGCCAGGACCAGACCAGGACTGAGATCAGGACCAGAATCAGGACTAAGACCAGGAGTAGGATCAGGACTGAGACCAAGACCAGACCAGGACTGAAACCGGCATCAGACCGGGACCAGACCAGGACCAGCCCGGGACCGAAACCAAGACTGCAACCGTTTAGTTCTGTTTTAGTCCTGGTTCAGTCCGGCATCACAGTTTAAGTCACGGAAACGGGAAACAGACATTTTCATTTAAACACAAAATGGAAAACTGAAAAAACAAATTGTTACAAGTTTTTTC